GGCGCTCGTCATGACTCTGCACTGGCCAGCGGGCAGCCGTGACAGCGACCCTGGCAGGACGGCCCAAAGCATAAAGACTGAGGCAGAGGCTGGCCGATAGAGGTTTGCTGTGAGGGCCCAGTCGCTCAGTACTTTAGATTTTATGGACACGATAGTTTCCATGACCTCGACTTCTTTCCAGCAGGGCACAATAGTATTGTGCCTGTGTACACAACCGTGACTCCGTCAAACTTTGTTTGTGGGCACTGGAATGTGAGTTTCATGTATTAGGAAATATTTTTCTACTTTCAGTTTTCTCCAACCATTAAAGTAATGTAGATTGGGACTGGAAAGATTGTAGGGATCTAGGACCCTTGGCCCCTGGGATTGACTCACTAGATTCCCCAGCCCTGCGTGATCCCACAGACTGCTGAGACTCATCGAAACTTAGGGCTTGAAACGATCCCCCAGCAAATGCTGCAGCCCCCTGCGTGGCTTCTAATCCCCCCGAACACCCCAAAACCTTCTGGGGGGTTGTTTCATTTTTAGGCTGCACTCAGCGGTGCTCAAGGTTTATTCCTGGTCTTGCACTCAGAGAGCACTCCTGGCAGTGCTCAGCGAGTCATGAGTGGTGCCCGGGATTGAACCTGAGTTGGCTGAGTAGAGGGCAAGTAAGTGCCTTATTCACCGTGCTCTCTCTGACCCTCCAAAGCAGCATTCTTATAAAGTTAATGTTGCCCTTTAAAAATGATGTAGGCCCCGCGTAAGGCTGTCTTTACCAGGGCACCTCGGAGGGGGTCAGGTTGAGTTTCCCTGCCCATCCCAAGCAGAAAGAACCCTGGCAGCCAAAAACCTCCAGAACCCAATCACTGCCATACTCAAGGCTACCCTCCACACTTGGATGAGCCTCACCCAAGTGGGAACTGGCAGACAAACCCAGGCATGTGGGACCCTTGACTGAGACCTCCAAGCCTGCTCGGATCAGGACTGGGCCTCCTCCCCCCAGATCCCCAGTTATCCAGTAACTTGGCAGCCATACCCACAAACTGCCCCTGGCACCATGCAATCTCACCAATGGCCAAGATCCAGAGACTATAAAACAAAGGTCCTGGAAGAGAGCAACGCAGAATTCCCGAATGGCCTCTTATACTCTAGCCCACTTATGTACGCAAGTAGCACACATTCGTTTGGCTTTAATTTGCTTGTATTCTCTTATATACAGGCTTAAATGGCTCCAGAATGAAATACAACAACCTTCTCAAACTCCCCCCTTATTGTTGTGGGAAGGTGCTTGGTGGTGGGATTGGTGTTTGAATATTATCTGCAATAAACTATTGTGAACTACTTTATGAAAACAAAATATATAAAAGTTGTGAAAAATAATGTAGACAGGTTTAGGGAGGAAAATGCCCTGTGTTTGAAATGTGTCCGGACCCCACAGTAGGTTACTGTCATTGGGCCACCCCAGGGGGGAAGGGGTGCTGTCTCTCCACCAGCTCCCCCTTGGCAGCTCGGTGACCACAATCTCCCAGAGGACATTGGACAGTCAGGTTTGGGCCCTTAGTGATGCATCCGGTCCCAGCACTGGGCCAACCCAGGTGGGAATAGGTTTTTTGCCTTGGCCTGTTCCCCCTGGTGACCTGGTGGCTGTCATCCTTCAGAGGCCACTGGACAATCAAGTTTGGGACTGCAGTGACGAGACACACAGGGCCTCATGGGATGGAGGTGGATCCGGCCCTTTCCTCCCCACCTCAACAAGACCCCGAGTTGCTGCCCACGAATGGCCTTTCTGGCTCCTGATCAAGTTGCTTAACGGCCATGATCCCAGAGACTCAGAAACAAATCTCAAAACCCAGTGGCTTTTGGCAGAAATGTGTCTGGACCCGCAGTAGGTTACTGTTGCTGGGCCACCCCAAGGGGGAAAGGGTGCTGTCCCTCCACCTGCTCCCTCTAGGCAGCGTGGTGGCTGCCATCCTCCAAAGGCCATTGGGCAGTCAGATTTGGGCCCTCAGTGACGAGACACATGGGGCCTCATGGGATGGGGGTGGAGCCGGCCCTTTCTTCCCCATCCCAATGAGACCCCAAGTCGCCGCCCATGAACAGCTTTTTTGGCTCCTGATCAAGCTGCTTAACGGCCATGATTCCAGAGACTCAGGAACAAATCTCGGAACCCAGCAGGTTTTGGCAGAAATCCCTCCAGATTTAAGTGTTAAAATTTCAAAATCGCGGGGCCACTACTGCAACCACATGACATCATATGTTATTCATAACCAGCAATAGAAAACAAATTGTCTACTGTTGCCTTTTCAGCAGATCTGAGTGTTGGGGTAAAATCCCAAATAATAATGGTGGGTCTAGTGTCAAAATACTGAATGTAATCAAAGAGAGAGTGTAATGTAGAGAGAGAGAGTAATGTGGAAATCATCTGCCCCACTGGTAGGGGGAGGGTGTGGGAGAGGGGTATACTGGGGTTTTTGGTGGTGGAGAATGGGCACTGGTGAAGGTACGAGTGTTTCACTGTATGACCGAGACTTAAACCCCAAAGCTTTGTAACTGCTTTCACGGTGATTCAATAAATAAAATTATAAAATAAAAAAAAGTAAGGTGGAGTTCATGCCCAATTCAATCAGCTAATCAGTGACTGAATAAATAGCAGTATTCCTACATTAAAAAAAAATGCCCTGTGTTCTGAGATAGGGCACAGAACCAGCCATGTAGCAGTGGATTGTTCTGGAAGGTTGGCCTGGAAGTACACTGGCCTTTAGGGCTTTCCATGATGCCTGGGCAGCACAGAAGAGAGAAGTGGAACCCGGCCAGAGCCCAGTGCTCTGCCAGCACCTGAACTTCTTCTCCTGATGTGAGCTCCATGCCCCCAGGGGCGTCATGGATGAGGGGTGTTCCCAGTTAGAGGCATTGTCTTGAATTCCATTTTCCTAGCCCTCCACAGTCAACTGGCTTTCTCCACCTTAGAGCGACATTGTGACAGCAGCATCTCAAAGGCAGACAAGGCTCCTGGGCTGCATTGGTGGAGTCCAGACAGAAAACCACAGCCTGTCCAGCTTCAGGCCTGTGCCACGCCTGGCTCCTGGGCAGCTGATCCCACCTCTGGATGGGGTGGAGCAAAGCTAAAGTGGTCAGCCAGGTCCCCACCTCAGCCCAGCCTCTGGACTTAGGCAGGCCTTTGTCTCAGTCTGGGCATCAACTTCCAGTCTGTGACATGAGAGCTTTTTGTTTCTTTTTATTTTGTTTTTGGGTCACATCGATGATGCTCGGGGCTTACTCTTGCTCTGCACTCAGGAATCATTCCTGGTCAGTGCTCAAGGGACCATATGGGATGCCAGGGATTGAACGCAGGTTAGCCATGAGCAAGGCCTTACCCATTATACTATCTCTCCTGGAATGGGAACATTTATACGAACAACACACAGTGGAGATGGAAAGAAAGAACATCTAAAAGGATAATAGAGGGGGCTTGGGGGCGGGTTGGCAGGAGACAAGACAGCCTGCAGGGCAGCCAGACTCCTTTCCGGAACTGCTTATGGTCCCCTGAGCACTGCCAGAAGTGATCCTTAAGTGCAGAGCCAGGAGTAATCCTTGGGCACTGCCGGAGTGTGACTCCTCCTCAGCTTAGGAATCTCCGAGTTCCTCCAGGACAAGTTGTTCAGGAGGCCTGGCTCTCACTGATCTGGTTTGCTGTTGTTTTGTTTGGGGGCCACACCTGGCAGTGCTCAGGGCTTACTCCTGGCTCTGTGCTCAGGAATCGCTCCTGGGTGAGGGGGGAGGACCATGTAAGTGCTGCGGATGGAAGCTGAGTCTGCCGGGTGCAAGGCAAACGTCCTACACTCTGTACTGTCCCTCGAGGACACCTTAGAGATCTGACTCAGCGCCTTCAGCTGCCAGTTTGAGGTGCCAACTGAAGGCAGCCCCTGGGCCCTGGGCAGTGGACAGACACCCAGCTGGGCGCAGACTACTTGCTCAGGCTTGAGAGGAATCTGGCCTCAGCGCCCTTGGCTTGATGCAGCGCAGGAGAAGACAAAAACAAAACCCTGGGCTGTAAGACAGCGGCCAATAGGCCAGTAGGAATGGATCGTGCAGATGCCCCGCCCTGCAGGATCCAGGGAGCCGCCTCTGAGCACTGCTGAGAGAGTCCCCCAAAGAAACACAAAAGACCCCAGGCGTCTGCTAGTGGGCGATTCTGCACAATGAACTCCCTGTCAAGGGTTTACATGTGACTTCGCGGGGCAGCCTGGACGCACCGGAGCCTTCCCCGAGTCACCTGGTCTGGGCTGCGAGAGGGAGGGAGGTTTGGGGAAGCGAGGGGCGGACCCTGCCCTGGGGGCTCCCGTCCCATCCTGGGCAGAGCCCTGCGGGCCTCCGAGGGTGTGAATCCAGGGACGCGCTCCAGGGTGAGCGCGGCGTGGCGCGGGGAGGAGCGTCTCCGCGCTCGCTCGAGCTGATGTTTCTGTTTAGGTTCCCTGGTCCACCCAGGTGGGGGAGTAAGGGCGGGACCGGTCCCCCCAAACAGCCGGGGAGCGCTCCGGGGAGAGTCGGAGTCGGGGTCACCGCAGGGTAGCCCCCAACTCGCCCGCGCGCGCGGCGCCCCGGGACTCGGATCCCGGGAGACTCGGATCCCGGCAGCGGCGGGCCGGGACGCGCCCTCAAGCCCCAGTCTGGGCGCACGAGCCCCCTCGCCGTCTGCAGAGCCCGGGGGCGGGGTGACGACCGCCGAAGCCCCTTCTAGGCGCCCCCTTCTTGCTAGCGCCCAGTTAGCGGCCGCTTGGGACGGCAGCGCGCGCCCCGGGGACGGGGCGGGGTGAGGCCGGGCTCGGCCCCCTCTGCGCACTGGACTGGGCGCGGCCCGAGGGGACCCGCTGCACGCGAGACCCTGGAATAAACCCGGAGCCGAGCCTGAGCGCTCCTGCAGAGCCTGGACAGCGGGACTCCGGACGTCCAGTGTGGCCACCCGCGGACGCCTGGAGCTGCCCGCAGACCCAGCCACCTGGCGCTGGCCGCGCCGGGCCCCGCGCGCCGCGCCCTGCGCTGACCGTCTGGACGCCGCCCTGCCATGGCGGTGCCCCAGGTGCGTCCCCCTCTCCCCGCCCGCGGGAGCACCCCGGCACCCCCTGAGCCCCTTCCCCTCCCTGGGACCAAGGAGGCTAAGGAGGACGCGCCCGGACACCCCCATCTTTTCCTTAACTCTTTGGATGGCCTTGGGCCTCGGTTTACCTGGGGTTACATGGGGCTGGAAATCACTTCTTGTTGAGATGATTGATTGTGGGGGGCTTGAGGGGTTAAGGGAGGGGACACCCGGCGCTGCTCAGGGGCGATTTCTGACTCTGTGCCCAGGAGGGACCCTTGGCCTCCGCACAGACCATTAGTGGTCCTGGGGATTTTATTTTAACCAGGATTAGCCAGCCTCGCAGCCTGATGTCCGGCATTTAGATATTCTTTGGGTTTCTTTTGGTTTGGGGCCTGCTGTTGCTGGGGTAGCTCCAGCTAGTGCCCAGGGTGCTGCTGAGGGGTCCCCACGTATTCTTCTCATGCTGACCGCGTCCTCCCGCTGCTCAGGAACTACATCCCTAGTCCGGAGGGGTTAGTTCTTCAAAGAAAACTGTCGCTTAAAGTTCCTTTGTTGGTGGTGCAGCATCTAGGCCCGGGTCATGCCCATTTTACAGAGGGGAACATGGAGGCGCCCGGAAGCCGGATAAGGAGCTAACTAAGCAGGGGCAGAGCCAGGGGCTGTCTTCCAGTTCCCGGTCACTTTACTTAGCTTACAGCTCGTTCACAACAGCACACATAGAACTGGCTGTCCTCCAGACCGGCAGCGGAGGCCCCAGGACGCCAGTGAGAACTGGGTCTGGGCGTTTCTGTGAAATCGCCGCATGATTTTCTCTCTAAGCACAGCTGTCGCTTTTTATGGCATTCAGGGCTCCAGGGCCCGTGTATTCTGGGGCTGATTCTTTTTTCTTTTTTCCCAACTCAAGGAAATGCCTTGAGAGGAGCTAGGAGTCTTGACCCCCAGGTCTGTTAACCAGGGAACTGCAGGTGATTTACCAATGGCATTTTCCTACATGCTTCCAAGGGTCTGGGAAGTTGGGGTGGGGAGTGGAGTGTGCAGAGATGGGGTTCACTTCCAGAGCACCCCCTTACAGGTAAACATTCTCTCGTGCTTACATATGCACATGCATGTTATTTAAACCTATATTTAGGGCTGGAATGATAGCACAGCGGGTAGGGCGTTTGCCTTGCACACGGCCGACCTGGGTTCGATTCCCAGCATCCCATATGCCCCCTCCCCCCACCCCCCCCCCCCCCCCCGAGCACCGCCAAGAGTAATTTCTGAATGTGTGAGCCAGGAGTAACCTCTGTGCATCGCCGGGTGTGACCCAAAGAGAAAAAAAAAATAGAATAAACCCACATTTGAGGATTCTCCCTTCTGAAGCCCGACGTTGCGCATATGCTCACAGTTAGCAAACTGTGCTTCTCTGGCCCCGGGGGGACGTGCCTTTGACTGGCTGCCCAGCTGGACATCTCTGGGTGTCTCTGGGCATCTATAGGCAGCAGCAGGTCAGCTGGCCATGTTTGTGAGCACTGGAGCCTCCCTGAGGTCTGCTGGTGCCCCCTCCCCAGTATCTGAGGCTCAGCTCTGTGGGGAGCAGGGAGGGTCTCCACAAAATCCCTGGGGAGCCCACCGTTCAGAGACATGCGGAGACCCACCTGCTGGGCCACCACTGGTAGCTGCTGAGTGGGTCCAGCCACGGGGGAAGCAGTGAACAGGCTGCATCAGGTGGCTGCCCGCAGGGAGCTCAGTGTGGGGGGCAGGACCTGCTGGGGGGCTGGGCTTGCCTTGCCCTGGGGAACTTGGTTCCGACCCAGGCACCGCAGAACCACACCCCCAGCACTCACTGAGCTGCTGCCCCCCCCTCCCCGGCCCAGGATCGCAGGGGCCCTGGTGCCCCGCTGAGCACCACTTGTGAGGCCAAAAGCTTAGAGTAGTGGTTTTTAACCTCTGGCCCCCAAAGTAGTGCCGAGTGGCAGAAATTTCCCACCGGCCCAACAGAAAGGGGTTGCTTGCTGTTGAGCACAGGGGTTCTAATACCTGGGCCGCTGTCCACAGGAATCCCAGGTGGGCGTCCCAGGTGGGAATCACAGATGGGGAGTCCCAGGTGAGGGTCCCAGGTGGGAATCACAGATGGGGAGTCCCAGGGCGGCATCACAGATGGGGAGTCCTGGGTGGGGGTCCCAGGTGGAAGTCCCAGGTGTGGATTCCTAGGTGGGGAATCACAGGTTTGTAGTCCCAGGTGGGGATCACAAATGGAGAGTCCCAGGTGGGGGGTCCCAGTGGGAATCAGATGGGGAGTCCCAGGTGGGTATCCTAGGTGGGCGTCCCAGGTGGGGAGTTGAGGCTCTGGGCTGCTCCCACATGCCTACAGCTGGACGCAGAGGCACTGTGCGGACAGGGCATGTGTAGTGGAGGCCCGAACACTGCTGGACACTTTGCCAAGTGCCATCCCTCTGCTGCCTGCCCAGGGCAGTGCCACCCTCTGTCCAATGGTGCTGAGTTGCTGCCCCCCCTTGTGGACAGTGAGGGGGACACAAGGCAGGGTTCCACTGACCTGCTCCGGGTAGCCCTGGCGGGTTGTGGTGTGGGTGGCAGGGGTCTTCCTGCCACTGAGGGTCTCTGAGCCTGGAGAGAGGCTGCCAGGCACTGGCCAGCCTGGCACTCCCTGGCCCTCTGCGGCCTAGGTGAGCCTGCTGGGTGGGCGCCGGGTCCCCATTTCACAGTGGGGTGCTCACTCTCTTCTCTCCCCTCCGTGCAGAGGTGCAGCTGGGCCCTTGTGACCTCCACCCTCCGGTACTGCGTGACGGCCAGCGGCACAGTGATGCTCGTGGCCGGGACTCTCTGCTTCGCTTGGTGGAGTGAGGGGGATGCCGCAGCCCAGCCTGGACTGCCGACCTCCCCAATGGGGGCCCCCGTGCCCGAGCCCCCCAGCCCTCGGCTCAGGTCCATCAGTCTCCTCTGCTGCGGGGCCGGCGGGCTGCTCGTGCTTGGAGGCCTGCTGTGGTCTGTGAAAGCCGGCCACCGGCCGCTGCCCCGCTGGGACCCGTACCACCTCTCCCGAGACCTGTACCTCCTCACGGTGGAGAAGCAGAGTGACAGGTCAGTGGGCAGGTCCGGGCGTAGGGAGGTGGCTGTGGGCGGGACCCCAGCCCAGACGTTTACCCAGCAGACTCTCAGAGATCCTCCTTGGGCCAGGCCTGACCCCTGCCCTGGGAGGCCGGGCAGGGAGGCCGGAGGTGCCTGTTGAGGCTGACTTGACACACCAGAGTATAAATTGCTATCGGAGGGTTGTGGCCTTGATCTGATGGAGACACAGGAAAACCCAGGAAGACGTCCCGGAGAAGGTGGCAGCTGGACTCCACATAGTAGGAGAGAGCAGTGTTGGGGCTGAGAGAACAGAACAGGAGTCAGACCCGTCGGGCACTCCCCCGGTTCTGTCACTGTCTAACCAGATAGTCAGGATCCCACGGCCCCCAATGACTCCTCATAGCCTGCTCATCTGAATGGGATTAACAAGCACAGTAGGGACCCGACAGATAGTCTGGGCTGCATGCAGCTGGAGGCCCCAGCACAACTGGGGTGTCCAGTACTGCCTCCTCCTTAGCCCCACACTGCTGGCCTTGGGCCTGGAGTCCCCCAGAGGACCTGGAGCAGGACTTGAGAGACTGAAATCTTTTTTTTTTTAAAGTGTGCGTGGTGGCCAGGGAGCTAGCACACAGGGAGGGCTCTTGCCTGGCACGCAGACAACCCAGGTTCAATCCCCGGCACTCCAGATGGTTCCCTGAACACAGGGCCAGGAGTCAACCCTGAGCACTGCTGGGTGTGGCCCCCCAAATATACAAAGTAAATTAGTAAGAACCACAGGAGCAGACATCGGGGTCACACCCCGACGCCCCTCCCCTTAGAGGGGTGTTGCCCCAGTCATGTGGCAGGTTGTTCCTGGACAGGGCCTGAGGCCTTCTCCTCTAGGGCGGTGGGAAGAAGAGTCTGGGGGCTTGTCTCCTCCTCCGAGAAGCCAGCTAGCTGCTCATCCTGCAGTGTCACAGTGGTCACTGGAGCCAGGCGGGGCCCCAGGCTCAGGGCCAGAGCCTTGCCTGGGTGTGTGTTGTCTGTACACATGACTGTGTTGACCCAACAGGGCCCAGGCTGTGCTGTGGCTCCGAGGTGGGGCTCTGGGCCTGTTCCCAGTGCGCCGGGGCAGCTGCTGACCCTGAGCTGCAGGACACCACCAACAGCAGGCCCGGGGACCCCTGGCAGGGGGCTGCGTCAGCTCTCAGTTCACAGCCCACCCAACCCGGCCACTCAGCCTCGAGCCCCTGCAGTGACCACTCAGCTCTCCTGCTTCTCTGCGTCTGGCTTTCTGGCCTCTAAGGCTGACGGCTTGGGCGGTCCAGTCCCATCTTGGGACCTCAGTTTCCTCATTTGCGATGCTTTTGTGCACCTCCTCCTGGTCAACCGGTCACCTACGGTATGCCAGGCATTGCCATCCTCTGCCGCAGGGCCATAGCTGTGGGTCCCTGATGGGGGTGTCAACACACGTGGAGATCCCTGGAAGCCCCCAGCCCCGGTGAGCATGGCAGAGAGGGCGTGAGAAGGCCCTGCCCTACGCCCCTTGGACGGGCTGTGTGTCCCTGAGCCCGCGAGCTGGGCTCTCACAGATCCCTGAAACGGCAGCTGGCCCAGGAGCGGCAGGAGAGGCGTGAGGTGGGGTGCTCCCTGCCAGGCTCACGCACAGGCTCAACTCTCGATGCTTCCGCTGTTACCCTTACGCGTGTACGGTACAGTCTCAGCCCCTGAGCAGGTCTGAGGTTTGTACACAGAAACAGCCTGTGGGGACTGGAGCAACAGCATAGAGGACATTTGCCTTGCATGCAGCCGATCTGGGTTCGATTCCCAGCACCCCATACCGTATGGTCCTCTGAACACCACCAGGAGTAATTCCTGAGTGCAGAGCCAGGAGTAACCCCTGTGCATCGCCGGGTGTGATCCAAAAAAAAAAAAAAAAGAACCAGACTTTTACAGATGAGAAGGCTGAGGTGTGCTGAGAAGAGCCGTCTTGGCTCGGCCTCTTTTTAAAAATCTGGGTGTCACTCCCAGTGCCGTGCTTCTGGGCCACTCCTCGTGGTTCTTGGAGGGACGGTGACATGCTGGGGGTCAGCCCCTGGCTTCCTACCTGCAAAGCACACACTCCTGTTCTTTGAACCAGTACTCCTGGGGCTCCTCCTCTTTTTTAAAAAATATTTTTGCTGGGGAGTACTCCTGTTTCGGTGCTCGGGGAACCTCATGTGGTGCCGAGGATCAGTCGTGGGGTCTGGCCTGTGAAGCCTGGGCTCCAGCCCTTTGACTGTCTCCCCGGCGGTCTGCTCTGATCTGTGTGATTCTCTTGTTGTCGTTGTGGAGGCGGATCACAGACACATGCCATGTGTGGGGAAAGGAGAGTTTAAGTGCTGGGCAAGCAGTTCCGTTGCCCCTTTCCCTGTCCACCTGCTGGAGTCCGCTGAAGGGTGGGGGTGGGGACGGACGCAGGCCCAAAACCCAGGCTCCCAGCAGGGGGATGAACCCTGGCCTTGGCGGAGCTTCTGGGGGACCCAGCAGGGGACCCCCAGAGGGCTACTCACTCCTCTGCCCCCTGCTATGTGCCATCATCTCCCTGCCTGGGGTCCATGTTCCCCACTGCTAGTCCCTGGGCTGGGAGAAGGAGGAGGGGCGTGACTGCAGAGGCCACCAGGGACACCCTGCGTCAGGCCCTCTGAGCAAACTTCCTGCTGGGGCCGCCTCACCTAGCATCTGGCCCTGCCCGCCAGCTGTCCCTGCCCGTGGCCCCTGGCCTGCTCAGCTGATTCATGTCCCTGGGGCGCTGAGGGCGTGGCAGGGCCTGGAGTTTCCCCATCTCTGTCCCCGGCTTCCTCTGGGCTCTCGCCAGCCCAGCCCACCGACAAAGGCAGAGGCCGCCCCAGCCGTGGGCGGGCACATTTTCAGGAGTTTTGACCTGCACCAGGGAACCGGGAGTTTGTCCCCAGCTGCTCCCCTCCCTCTGGGGTGGGGTGGGGGGTTCTGGGTGCTGACCTCAGCATCCGGCTCAGCAACACCCCCCACCCCCAGCCCCCCACCTGCTTGGTGAACCCCAGCCCTGCGGTGCTTGAGGGCTTTGCTGGCCGGGAGTGGGTTACCCAGAGTGGGTAGGGTTCCCTTGGGCGGGCAGCTCCCTATCACCCCTCCTGGGGTTCCTGCCTCTGCCTCTGCTCCCCTGGGCCTAGACAGGCAGCCCATGGCATGGACCACGTTGCTTGCCAGGGCTCCATGCGAATGCCCCCGTGGCACCTGCCCACAGAGTCCTGGAGCCGCTGTCCCTCCTGCACCCCTGCTGTCCAGAACACCAGGACTGCTTAGAGAGCACGGCGGGGGACCCCCCCCCCCCCCGCTGTTCTGCAGACGGGCAGGGACGCACAGGTGAAGCCCCCAGAACCCCGATCTTCAGGGCTGCAGGGGTGCGGCCACACTCACACCCTTCCTCAGCCCCCCTGCACCTTTGGGACCAGCGGCAGCAGCAGTAGCCAGAACTCTGCCCCGCCACCAGGGGCCTGGGAGTGGACAGGCACTGCCCCTCAGAAGTGACTCGCAGGCCCCAGAGGACGGAGGACCAGTGTCCTCCCATCCATCAGCCGTGGCTGGGAGGCCAGCTGGGAAGCTGCTTAGAGGGACCCCTGAGGTCCCTCGCTCAGGTCCCTGCAGGGTGGTTTGCTGGGAGGAGGGTGGAGGAAAGCCCAGAGACGATGTGTCTCTCTTGGTCGCTGGGAGCCTCCTGTCTCTGGAGTCATGTAAGCAGAAGTGGGCATCTGACATACACTGTCTTTTTATTTTTTTAATTTTTAAACTTTTTTTTTTTTTTGCTTTTTGGGTCACACCCAGCAATGCACAGGGGATACTCCTGGCTCTGCACTCAGGAATTACTCCTGGCGGTGCTCAGAGGACCGTATGGGATGCTGGATCGAACCCGGGTTGGCCACATGCAAGGCAAACGCCCTACCCACTGTGCTATCGCTCCAGCTCAGACAGACAATGTCTGAGGGCACCCAGATAGGCAGAACAAAGCCTCCGCGGCTCACGGCCATGTAAGGGGCCATGCAGTTAGGAACTGCCTGGCACCAACCCCCAGGCTCCAGCCTCAGCTCCCGGATGCCCAGTTAGTCCCTGCCTTCAGGGAGAACTGGGGTGGGGGTGGGTGGGGGGTTGCAAGGACAGAAGGGAAGCGCCACAGGAGAGGGTGGTGGGACACCCCGTGGGAGGGCCGTGGGCACATGTGGGGACCCACTGTTTGGGGTGCAGAGTCAGCATGGGGGAACTGAGACCGCAGGGGTGGGCCCCATCCAAACTTCAGTGTTATACCTGGGGCACTGCAAAGCCGTCAAAGGTGTGGACCCCCGGGTGGGTGGGACAGGGCAGAGTGTTAGTACAGCAGGGAGGACACTTGCCTGGCATGCTGTCGACCTGGGTTCGATCCTCGGCATCCCATAGGGTCCTCTGAGCATGCCAGGAGGGATTCCTGAGTGCAGAGCCAGAAGTAACCCTTGAGCATCGCCAGGTGTGACCCCAAAAAAGCTAAAAATAAATCGATGAATAAAAAAGTTTGGGCCAGGACATGAAGTTTATTGGGGGGCAGGTGGTGCTCCCAGGCAGTGCTCAGTTGACCTGCAGCCCACCAACGACTCTCGGCCACACCAACCCCACAGCTCAGTGGGCAAAGGGGCACTGCTGTCAGGCTCCACACCCCCAGGGATCAGCCCATTGACCCCAGCCATGCTCTGGGGGAACAGATAGAGCTCGAACCCAGGTCAGGTGCCCTAACCACTGCACTACCTCTGCTGAGGCATGAAGCCTGACCCCTCCCCTCATCCTCCTGGGTGCGCTGGGGGTTCACCCTGGCCCGTGCTAATAGCCTCTCTTCTCCCTTCTCTGTAGGACCCCAGGCCTGGGTGCCATTCCCTCGTACGAGGAGGCCCTTCACGGCCCACTGACCGAAGGGCCCCGGTGCCCCCCTGCGTACCCCACAGCAGAAGCCCTGCTCAGCAGCCAGCCCCCCAGCCCTCCGCCCAGCTATCAGAGCTTGCTGGCCGCAGAGGCCGTGGGCACTCACCACTGCTGGCCGCCTGGGAGCACGGCACAGCATGGGGGCTTAGGGGTGCTCCAGCCTGGAGTCTGAAGCAAATGACCGGCGTCAGGGCAGAGCTGGTGCCTGGGGACGCTCAACTGTACCCTGTACCTGTTTCTAACAGGCGGCTCAGACGGAGACTTTGGTGCTGGGGTGCAGCTCTGCAGGGGGCACCTCTCTCTCTCCCTCCCTGCCTCCTTCTCTCTCTCTTTCTCTCTCTCTCTCTCCCTCCCCCCTCCCTCCCTCCTTCTTCTCTCTCTCTCTCTCTCTCTCTCTCTCTCTCTCTCTCTCTCTCTCTCTCTCTCCCCCTCTCCCGCCCCCCCCCCCTGGGGACCAGCAAAACTAAGTGACTGACAAATGAAGCCATTTCATCATCTCCGGTGATTGACTCTGGGTAGCCCGGCCTGCAGGGGGTTGGGGCTGCGGGTTCCGAGGTGCCGTGCTGGCCTTGGTGCTGGCCAGCAGAGGGGGAAATGGAGCCCAAAGGCGGAACCAGGATTGGGGGTGCAGCCTGGACCCTGAATTCAAACCACCTGGCCTGGGCCCGAGCAAGTGGCCTCCTCAGACCTCTGAACCAGATTCTGCCTCAGTTTCTTCATCTGTAAAATGGGGTTCAGGCACTGCCACAGCAGCAGCCCTGTTTTGGAGGAATAGCCTTGTTGGAGGAACCAATGAAACTTCACCTCCGTTGGCCTCTCTGGTTCAGTACTGGAGTAGTGCTCAGTGCCCAGTGCTCAGTGCCCGGTGCTCAGTGCCTGGTGCTCAGTGCTTAATACTAAGCGCCCAGTGTTTAGTGCCTGGTACTGAGTAACCAGTGCTCAGTGCCCAGTGCTCATTGCCTCAACATGGTAGGTAAATGCTGGTATCGGCCCAGGGCAGCTGTCTCTCAGGTAGGAAGGCGTCAGACTTTGCAGTGGGGGAGCACCCTCCTCCAGGCGCTGCAGACCCCTGCCATTCTCCTAGAGGTGAGCCCACCCACTTCCAGCAGGACCAGAGCCATCTGCTCACTATCCAGTCAGGCTCTGTGCCCCTGGGCCACCCCACTCCAGCTCAGTGAGGAGGGAAAGATCAGCCCAGAGAGGTCCAGAATGGTCTCAGGGCCACACAGCAAGCAAGGGCTCAAGATCCTAGGCTCCACAGCTGGGTCAGGGGTCCATGGTCATCTGGGCCACCCCGTCTCCCACCCAAGGCTGCGGGAGCATGTCCCTCCCTTCACCAGGTGCCGACACAGCTGGAGCAGAGTCCTGAGAGCTGTGACAAGCCAGTGTGGCCCCTGGGCTGGCTCCAGGCGGGGACTTTAGCTCTTGCCAGGGCCCCCTCCCGGCTCCTCTCAGTGCAGACTCCCAGGGGGACCTTGCCGGCTCTCCAGGACTCAGACCCTGAGGTTTTGCCAACCTGTCCGAGTGAACCCCCCCTGGGGCGGGGGCCGTGCAGCTGGCCCTGGGCTGCCCCTCCTCTTCCCCTGGCTCCTTGGGTTTCTCCCTGGGCTCTCTCCAGGTGCTCCCCTGCAGGGCTCCCCACCCCCACTCCTCGCTGTCTCTGAGGCCGTCCTGGCCCCTCTGCCCACCACATCCTGCCTTCGCCCTACTGAAAAGTGAGGCCCAGCCTGCTGCAGCCTGGGCTGGGGGTCAGAGCCACAGCTGAGGGGCTGGAGAGTGCACGGGGACCCCAGAGGGACACTGAGCCTCCTGAGAAGATGATGGGCTTGTAAGACAGCCCCCACCTCAAAGACCACCTTGCACCCAGACTGGGGTGGGCATTTCTAGAGAGCTGCGGGAGGTGGGAAGGGGGGCTCAGCACCAGCCTCTGCAGTTGCGGCCGTGTTGGGGGTTCGTCCCTGGGGGATGGTGGCCTGCCCCCTCCCCCGTGAGACTTGGGGATCTCATCTCTACGGGGCCCACAGGAGACAGGAGACCCACAGGGACAGTTTTCCAGGCCCTCAGGGGCCGGGGTGTCCTCCCAGACCTGCTGTTTGCTGTCCCCCCTCCATCTGTGGTTGGATTTGGGGTAGTAACATCAGACAGTGCATGAGAATCTCGGGACATGGGCAAAGAGGAGGTGAGGTGCAGGGGGGCATCTGGGCAGGAGGAGCCCAGTCAGGGCTGCACCCAGTGACCAGGCTCCTTGGACACATGGGGAAGGTGCTCCAGCTCCAGGAGACACCGAGAAGAGAACAGACACAGCCTATGAAGGTCAGGGATGCACCACGGTGAGCCTGGCAGTGGACTCAGTACGTTTCTGGGCCGCTTCACGGTAGGTCACAGGGGACATGGAGAGTCCGAGCGTGGACACCGCAGAGAGGATCCGTGTCCACACTGTCGGCCTCCAGACAGGCGAGAAAGCGGGCAAAGGGGTCACCAATTCCCTGGGAAGGGGACCCTGGTGGCGGCTTCCCCCGCCTGACTGGGCGTGCGTTGCCATGGCGACGGTAAGCTAGCACCCGCGGGGGGTGTGGTTTATCATGCAAATATACTGCAGGGAACCGGTGGCAGCAGCTTCCTGCCCCCATCCTGGGTCCTGGCTCCCCATCTCGGATTTTCTTGACTCCAGCCGTTCTTCAGCTACACTTCAATGAAGAGCTTCGGTCTTTACAGTTCTTGCCTTTTGAGGCGCTGGAAGTCGACGCCAACATATTAACTAGTCTCTCTGCAGAAACGCAACGACGATCAGTTGTTCATAGCAGATTTCCAAGGGGCTCTCTCAAGAGCACTTTCCAGGACCTAACTAAAGGCAGCTAGAGAGCGAGAGCGGAGGGGTTTCTGTGTGTGTGTGTGTGTGTGTGTGTGTGTGTGAAGAGTGGGAGATGCTGGGAGCTACTCTTGACTCAGTGCTCGAGGGTTGCTCCCAGCACTGCTCTGAGGACCAAGCAGTGCTGGGAATCAAACTCACTCAGTCCAGCTCGCTCTCTCTCTCTCTGAGGGCCGGAAGGCAGCTAACCCCCACCTCAGCCTTTGGACATCGCTCTTCCTGGGCTATTCTATGCCGTGTGTGTAGAGAACCAGGAGGTGCCTGTCCTGAGGCCCACTGACCGGCTGCCTGCAGCCACGCTCTGCCTCATTGGCACGTGCCAAGGCCGAGAAGGCGCCTGGCTGGGGTCTCGGTCGGTGTCTGTGAGTGACTGAGCGAATACTGGCTCTTCCTGTTGCACTGGGGGCCCCTCTGCCGCCACGTCAACCTTGGGACTTTCTGGGGTGCCCCCGTCAGAACCCGGGGGTCCATTTAGCAGTCCACTCGCTTCCCTGCCTCTCCACTCCTGCCCGTGCCTTGCCCTTCCCGCCTAGGTGGAGAGGTAGGCTTGAGCCCTGCCTTGCTCCAGACTGCAGTGTGATCTCGAGGTGATCTCCTAAACACATACGCACACACATGCATACATGCAAACACATGCACACACGTGCATGAACACACATGCATGCACGCACACACATGCACACACATGCATACACACATGCGCACACACGCACACACCATTTTCCTCTAAATCTACAGGGACTTGTGTGGGGGAAGGCTGGGAACTTATCAGACTCTGCAATGCCTACTAAGGGGGCTCTGGGGTCCTGGGCTGGAAACTGAGCCCAGCTGCTCAACCCCCATTCTGAGGAGGCATTTCTGGGCAGGTGAGTTAATGAGTTGCAGGTGTGACTCCGTTTTTTTTGTTTTGTTTAATTTTTATTAGGGAAACACCATGAGGTACAGCTGTAGACTTACAAATTTTTGTGCTTGGGTTTTAATTATACGATGATCGAGTACCCATCCCTCCATCAGTGCCCATTTTCCACCACCACTGACCCCAGGATCCCTCCCACCCCCCATTCCCCTATTCCACCCTGCCTCTGTGGCAGGGCAATACCCTTTTGTTCTCTCTCTCCTTTTGGGTGCTGTGGAATTGAGAAATTGAGTGGCAATTATGTTCGGTCTGTAGTCTACTTTTTGCCTGCAGGGGCAGGTGGAGGCAGAGACCAGGAGAGATGCTTTCTGCTGTTTTCTTGTCAGCATGTCCAGGGCTCAACCAGAAGCACCCCTAGGCAATGAGTGTTTCGGGGGTCCCCAGTGCCAGGCGGCTGAACCAGGGCCCAGATATGGCAAGTCCCCTCTACCTTGGCGACTTTGTTATGAACTGGGCACGTGTAGGCCCAGTGGCAGGGCCCAGGTGCACCCCAGGAAGCTGGTTTGACACGCGGCACCCCACCCCTGCCCCCAAGCCCTGATGTGCTTCCTGGTTCCTTTCCTCCTGGACCTCACGTTCAGGCTCTGTCGCCCCCTTGGAGCCCCCTGTCTTGCGCAGAGCCTGACCTCAAAGCTGGCCTTGCCTTCCTGGGCCACTCTGGGGTGACCAACTAGTTACTCCACCCCCAGAATTCTTGGTCTCATGTCTGATGGAAATTCCCAGTCAGAAATTCCCTTATCTCCCCAACCCCTAACTCCCCCTCCCTCCCCCACCCCCCCAACACACACACACACACACACACACACACACACACACACACACACACACACCAAGCAAGGCTCTGGTTTACTCCTGGCTCTGAGCTCAGGGATCACTCCTGGCCATGCTCAGGAGACCTCATGGGGTGTTGAGAATTGAACCCGGGTCCAGCAAGTGGCATCCCCACTGGACTGGCCTTGCGGCCACCCACCCATCCTGAGAGGGCCCCTTTGGCTCTTCCTGCCCCGGATTCCTGATGCAGTTTGGCAGAAACTCAAGCCACCATTATTACCTCCTGCTTTGTCCAGCCTTACCCCAGAGCTGGATGGTTATTGCCCTAAATGTGGGACCAAGGATGTGTCTCAACGGTGGAGGCCCATGTCTCTGGCTCCCCTCCCTGGCACTGTACCACTGTGGCACTGTCCTCCCGTTGTTCATCGATTTGCTCGAACGGGCCCAGTAACTTCTCCATTTTGAAACTTGTTGTTACTGTGTTTGGAATATTGAATATGACACGGGGAGCTTGCCAGGCTTTGCTGTGCAGGCGAGATACTCTCCGTAGCTTGCCGGGCTCTCTGAGAGGGGCGGAGGAATCAAACCTGGCTCGGCCGGGCTGGCTGCGCGCAAGGCAAATGCTCTACCACTGTGCTATCGCTCCAGCCCCTCCTTGACACCCCCCTTAAAAAGGGAATGAGGAGTTAGAGCAATAGCACAGCGGGTAGGGCGTTTGCCTTGCACGCGGCCGACCCGGGTTCGATTCCCAGCATCCCACATGGTCCCCCGAGCACTGCCAGGAGTAATTCCTGAGTGCAGAGCCAGGAGTAACCCCTGTGTATCGCCGGGTGTGACTCAAAAAGCCCCCCCCCCAAAAAAAGGAATGAAATAAAGGGAAATGAGCCACCACCTTCACCCACCCAGATCCATGGGCCCATGGCCTTGCTGTACCCGCTGAATGGGTGTGCGGGTCTCATGCTGGTCCGCAGATTGAAGGTTGAATACTTTAGAAGGTCCCCATGGGCCTCTGAGGGACGGCAGACACCCCAGCCCACCCTTGATGACTTTTCTCTGCCCCGAGGGAAGCATTCCAACTCCTGTCTCAAGACTCCCTCTGTGAGTCTGTGGCTTCACCTGCCGGGCCCATGGCCGGTCCTGCCCGTGCCCACACAGAGCCTCATGCCTGGCTCAGAGACTTTTCCATACTGTGTTCCCCAGAAGGTGGGACCCTGGGCAGTCACCTGCAAATTCAAGCTCAGTGTCCTGCAGAGAGCAGAACCTTGGAGACAGGTTCTGCTCTTTACAGATTGGGCGACCTTGGGCTGCCGGGCTGGCATCCAGGAAGGGGCCTCAGTTTTCGCTTCCATAGAATGGGTGTGATCTGTACCCTACTCCCAGGACCTTGCAAGCCCTTCCAACAGGAAACTCGTGTTTAGCGCGCCCTCTGCTGGATGACTGCTCAAACGCCCATCGCACCAACAGGGTGCTCAGGGGTGCTAGCGAGGGGTGCCGGTTACTCGGTTACTCGGCTAAGGGCGCACTTGGGGGTCGGGTTACTCGGCCTAGGCCCTGACTACTGTTTGAGAGAAGATGGGAAGGAAGACTGGGTCCTGCAAAGGAAAGAGGCTCAGGCGCCGGCTGGTCCATCTCTGGGGTTCCTGAGCTCCATCTCCCCGAGACCCCCGTGTTAATCACTCCAGATTTCGGAGCATCTCCTGGTCCTTTCCTGTCCCTTCACCCGCACCCCTCGCTCCCCACCCCTCAGCACCAGGCACTCTGATGGTAACTTAATTTTTCCCTTTTATTAAAGAACTTTGATCTGCGGTGTTATTGATCGTTGAGTTCGTGACAGATAGTGTTCTTATTGATAGCTAGCTGAGCTTGTGACATAGAATGTTCTAGCACCAACTGCACCACCAGCCGCCAGGGTCCCAGGTCCCCTCCTGTTACTTCCCGTCCTCGTCCTCTTCCTTGCCCCCTCGATTTCCTTCCTTCTCTGTCCTTCCCTTTCCGACGCTCTGGGGTCAGGGTGACAGGTAGACATCTGCCCATTACTACACTGCATTTCATTGTCCACTTATTCTCACCGATGAGCCAGATCATCCTGCTTCCGCCTCCTCCCGGCTTGCTTCACTTAACGGAATACACTCCAGGGCCAGCCAGGTTGATTTCACGTGCAAGTTCCAAGACTCAAGTGCATATGGGGCTGGAGCGATAGAACAACAGGTCGGCACTTGCCTTGCACCTGGATGACTCAGGCTCAACCGCCAGCATCTGATACGGCCCCTGAACACTGCCAGGGGTCCTCCCCGAGCACAGAGTTAGGCGTGAACTGCACGAGCATGGCCGGTGTGGCCCCCAAACAAAACAAAACAAAACAAAAAAAGCCAAAAATGCCAAAGGAAAAACAACAGCAACAACAACAACAAACCCCTCCTCCCCGCCTTGAGCGCGGGGCAGAGCTCCTGCCCCAAATTGTGCTCAGACATACTTGGCCCTCACCTGAGCCCCTCAGCCACTCTCCCTGGGAAGGACCCCCCCAGGGTCTCTTGGGGGGGAGGGTCCCTACAAAACATTAAGTGCTGCCCAGACAGATCTGGGGTGGAAGAGAAAAAACAGGAAAGAACTGTGAGCAGTCTGGCCAGGCTGAGGGGCTGGACCTGGGTGGGGGAGCAGGTGACTCCCCAAGGTTGGGAGGCCTTAAACCTTGAACCCGGCATCAGAGACCTCCAGCAGCCTCTGTCAGAGACCCTCCCTTTCCCGGCGTCCTGGGAAAACTCTAGTCTTCGCCATCAGCCCAGCCCCAGTACCGAAATCCCACAGCTGCTGTTCTCAGGGGTGAGAACATGTCTAGGTGGTCCCGGGCTGGGGTGCCTGCCTCAAGCACGTGCCCCCTAGCGCCATCCCCAAAGCTGCCACGTGTGAGCCCTCCCCACCACGCCCTGGGCAAGCCCCCACACCAGCACCCACATCACTCCTATGCATCCTTGTTCTCAAGGGAGGCCAGGGTCCCTGCTTCTCGGGGCTCAGGCTTGCACAGCACATCGACCAGGGCTCAGTACACAGCCCCTGTTGGTAAATCCGGTTCCTCCTCCCTGCCTGGGCGGTGACCTTGAAGGTTAGAATTCTTCAGGATTTCAAACCGGGAAATTTCAGCCTGGCACCCAGACTCCTATGGCCACGTTCCCACGTCTCTGGCTGCAGCTTTGCCCCCTGCTTCCCCTGGCCGGCAGGTGTGGGGTGTCCTGGCCACCCAGCTCAGCCCCCACGGGCTAATGAGCTGATGTCAGAGCTTTGGCCGGGGTCCAGCCCCGTCACCTCCCGTCCCTCCCTCCCTCCTTCCCTCCCGCACACACTCACACACTCCCGGGGCCCGAGGGAAGGTGAGAGGCAGCCAAGGTGGGGTGAGGTGGGGCAGCAGAGCAGAACTCCGGGCTGGAGGACCCTGTCTGCCGGGGACTCAGCTGGTCCTCCCGGCTGCCGCCACCCACCTTTCCAGGAGCCCCCGATCCAGCCATCCTGGACGCTGTTCTCTGGCCCCCTCAACTCCTGCCTGATGTGAGCCAGGGCTGGGGTTGGTACCTTCCTGGGCCCAGCAGGAGCTGGCCGGACAGCCATGGCCGATGAGAAGACCTTCCGCATTGGATTCATCGTGCTGGGCTTCTTCCTGCTGGCCCTGGGCACCTTCCTCATGAGCCACGACCGGCCCCAGGTCTACGGCACCTTCTACGCCATGGGCAGTGTGATGGTCATTGGGGGTGTCGTCTGGAGCATGTGCCAGTGCTACCCCAAGGTAGGCGGTGGGCGGGGTGGCGGCGGCTCCCTGGGCAGCCCTTCCGCACCCCTCACTCACTTGTTTTCCTCTCAGCCCCTCGTTTCTCTCTTTGTTCTCCCGAGAATCCATTCAGGCATCTGCCTAGCCGCCCACCCCGCCATGGCTCAATTATCCAACTACCCATCCACCTGTCCCTCCATCTGCCCACCTGAACCCACCATCCACCCAGTCTATCCACACCATCTATCCATCCATCCATCCCTCTATCCCTCCCTCCTTCCATCTCCACATCCCACCCATGTCTTTCTCTCTTTCTTTCTTTCTTTCTTTCTTTCTTTCTTTCTTTCTTTCTTTCTTTCTTTCTTTCTTTCCTTTTCGGGTCACATCCAGGGATGCACAGAAGTTACTCCTGGTTCATGCACTCAGGAATTACCCCTGGCGATGCTCGGGGGACCTTATGGGATGCTGGGAATTGAACCCAGGTAGGCCACGTGCAAGGCAAACGCCCTACCCGCTGTGCTATCTCTTCAGCTCCCTCACCCATGTCTTTCTTCATCTCTCTCCCTCCATCTATCTTCACCCATCACTTAGTCCGTGTACCCTTCCACTCCTCCATCTACTCATTTCTCATCTGCTTCCCTCTTCCATCCTTCCCTCTATCCCTCCATCTCTCCATCCTCCCTCCCTCCCTCCCTCCACCCCCCCATTCCTCCAGCCTGGCATCCCCCACTCCTTCCTCTGCCCATCCACCCTCCATTCATCTTTCCGTTCTTCCCTCCTTCCCTCCATGCCTCCATCTGCCACGCTCCATCTCCCCTCCACTGTCCATCCATGCGCGGCCCCTTTCCTCACTGGCATCCCCTGAACGGGGCCATAGTGGGAACCAGTGAGACCCAGCCCAGACCCACAGTTCCGAGCATGCGGCCCTGGGGCTCCCCTGCATCTGGGGGCTGTGTCGCCTCACCCTGTGCCTCTGGTGCTGCCATCCAGTGCCTGGGGGTGGGGGAGCCTGAGCTCAGAAGGGGAGATCCCCAACCCCAGTGTTAGAGCTGGGCCGCAGGCCATGGCTATGTCCTTGGGAGCTCTCCTGAGCGGGGGTCTCGGTGGGTCTCAGTGCAGTGTGACCCAGAAGCTCCCTGTGGCCTTCATCTTTCCGAGCCTCCGTTTCTTTCTTTTGCAAAAGAGGGTACTGCACCCCAGTTTCTCTGAGCCTCCCAGTTCAGGGCAGGTCAGTATGGGACGGGATGCAGGGAAAGGGCAGTCGCCCCGACCCCCACCGAGCCTCTCAGCCGCTTCAGGAACTAGGCATGTCAGAGAGGTTGGGTGACTTTTTCAAGGTCACACAGCTGACCAGAGGCCGATGGGAAGTGTGACTCCAGCCTTGGTTGAGCCCGGGAATCCTGACCAGGCCCCGCTTCTTGGAGCCTCAGTTTCCTCATTTGCTCCAAAGCGCAGGGGGAGGAGCTTGTAAAGAGGAGGCCCTGACACCCTGTATCAGGGATACAGCCCTCCTGCTCTTCCCCCCCCCAACACACACACTAGAAGCCCCTGCCCGGTGTGTGGGACTGTGAGGCATTTTGGGGGGCCCTAGGGTCCTACTGCCCGCTCCCAGCCCTGCCCCCTCTGCTGCTGCCCAGGCTGTCAGCACATCCAGGCCAGGCGGGCGGTCCCAGCTGGCCGCTGCCATCCCCACAGTTTACAGTCAACTTGCCTGTGTCCACTCGGCAGCGGGTAGTCACGGGAGAGAGAGGCCCACCTCCACCTGTGGCCTACAGCCCTGCAGAGCTGGACCCTGGACCCAGGGGGCGTCAGGGGTGCCATGGGGGTCCATCCTGCCCTCCCCGCTTTCCGAGAGGAGCGTGGAGGGAGTGAGCGGTGGGGTGCAGAGAGGGAGCCTCGGGCATTAATGAGTAACTGTTGAGAGATCCCAGTGGTCAGGTGCCGGGAGCTCCCGCCCGCCTCCCTCACCCCCACTTCTGTGACCTTGGCAGGGGGAGCCCCGTCCCCTCCCTTTGTGCTCAGCCAAAGGGGAGGAACCCAGGGGTCCTGCAGGCAGGCAGGGTCCTGGACGAGCCGCATGGTGGGCTGGGGGATTGGGTGGGGAGGAGGAGCTGGGGCTGGGTGTGTTTGGGGGGGGACACAGACCAGGAGAGCTGGCACATCAGGGGGGCGCGGAATGGGCCCCACGCCCTCCTCCCACCTGGTCCCCCGGGTCCCCGGGGCCACCGTGGCAAGGCCAGTGGTTGGGACCTGCCCTGAGCTAGTTCCCAGGGAGTATGGAGATTGCTGCATGCAGATTCCTGGACTCGGAGCCTGACGAATGGGAATGTTCTGGAAGGAAAGCTCACTGGAAGGGGTGGGACTTAGCCCATTGAGATGGGCGACACCAACACCCACCTACCCAGGCAGAGTCGACAGCAGTGTGCATGCAGGTCTACGCAGGGCTGGGTCCGCAGGGGAGATTTCTAACAGAGAGGGAGGAGAGTGAGCGAGGTTTACTGGGCAGAGACAGTGTGGAGAGATGCCCCCCTCCAACCCCCACCCACACATACCCATGGCAGAAGGACAGTGTGCCAGCCCCGGGGATGGAAGGACAAGGGAAGCGGGGACTTGGTGCCCAGAGGGTGGCTGGGCCAAGAGAGGCTGCCAGGCCTGAGAGACGGTCCAGTTTGCAGTTACAGAAGTTTACTGGCTGAGCTCGGGAGGCAGAAGGAGAAGGGCAGTGGGGGTGCACAGGAGATCCCCTTCCCTGGCCCAGGACAAGCTAGACCCAACACTGCAGGAAGGGAGAGGCTGTTCCGGCTCAGGGAGCACACGGGGCTGCTGGTTTTGTGTGAGGTACACCGGCCACAGCTGATGGGTCCTGATTCCTAAGTAGACAGGCTCAGGTCTGGGGCCACCGGGGTCTCAGGCTTGAAAGGGGCAGGCAGGAGAGCTCTGTGTGGGGGGCTGTCAGGGAGGCCGTGCCCGTCAGCAGGGACAGGGAGAAGGGGCAGATTGGCAGGAAGAGGCTGCTGGACCTTCTGCTAGAGCCCAGCAGCCCGGCCCGGCTGCTGACAACTGTCATCTCCATGAGCGTCCCACCTTCTGCCCCCTCCCTCTGAGGACATTTGGCACTCTGGGTCAGCGCCAACCCACTCATGGACAGAGAACCATGTGGAGAACATCCCCAGTCTGATGCCCTGTGGTCTTCATGGCTTGTCGTGCCCCCTCCCCTCTGTTCTTCCTGCCACGGGTGTCAAAGCACATGGGTTCTGAGATGTTCAGGCCTTTCCTTTCACAGTTGATGCTAATGGGATTGAGATCTGAGGATGGTGACGGTGACCATGGTGATAATGAAGGTGGTGGGTACCGAGGAGGACGGGGTGAAGGATCACGGTGATGGCGATTGATACCATGTTGATGGTGGCAGTGCCGACAGTGGTGTAGATGACGAGGGTGATGTTATGGGGATGGTACTGATGATGGCGATTGATCTGATGGTACTGATGGCGCCGGCCATATGAAGGTAAGGTGGAGAGTGATGATGCTGAGGGCAGATAAATGATAATAATGATAGTGATGGTGGGGTCATAGGATAATATTGATGATGGTGATTGATCGGATGATCCTGCTGATAATGATATAGTGATATAGATAATAGTGTGGTGGCGGTGAGGTTCTGGGGAGTAACAGTGAAGCTGGTGATTGATCTGATGATCGGGATGATGATGAGATGAAGGTGACAGTGGCAATGGGGGGAAGGATATTGATGAAGCAGCTGCTGCTGGTGAGGAGGAAGAGTTAATGATGAAGGCAATGGCGAAGGGGAAGCTGCTGGACCTTGGAATAAGACAGAAGAGGCGCAGTGGACAGCATGTGCAGGTATCTTAAGCGGATGCAGAAGATGACCAGGCCCTGTATTTCCTCTTAGATACTGAGGGAGGAGTTGGCTCCTCACAGTCATTCTAAGAACTCCCTATAAATCCTCCGTCCTTAGCTGATCCGAGCTCTGGCGCAGTCTCCAGGGAAGCTGGGAAGGGGCGAGTGCGTGGACAGTGCCGGAGGGGCTGGTGGAGTATTTGCGGGACACGTTTCCAGTTGAGAAGATTCGGAGAAGCAGGGAACTGCACCTAGTAGCGCCCCGAGGAAGATCTGGGTGGCCACCATGTGCTTGGTGGCTTTGGGGACCACCAGCAACTGCCGATCTAACAAGGGTCACCCACTGCCAGGCCAGTGCCTTGGACCTGTGCTGTCCCTCTGCCCTGGAACTCACAGGAGATGCTCCTGTCAGTCTCTGGGACTCTTTCTCTTGCAAAGTTCTGTACCCCGTGAGCCCCGAGTTCTCCATTCTCCTACCCTCTCTCCAGCCCCAGTGCCCGCCTATGCCCAGCCGATGGTGCAGGCCTAGTGGTTTGGTGCCTAGACCTGGCTTGGCGGTGCTGGTAAGGCCAGGTGATGCTGGGATCCTCCGGGGCCACATGGAGGGTGTGCAGAGCCGGAAGTCGAACTCGGGGCCTCACGTGAGCCAGGCACGAGCACTCCCAGGGTTCTGCCTCAAGCTTCCCTCCCAGTCCCCGTTCTATCTCTGTGAAGGCGACTCTCGAGGTGGCGCTGGGCTTTCCTCCCTTAGCCAGGGCTGTCCCCAAGGCTCATCCCTGAAGCAGCACCTGTCAGATGGTCTTTTTTCCCTCTTTCTTCTGTTTTTGTTTGTTGGGGGGGGCACACCCGGCAGTACTCAAGGCTTCCTTCTGGGGGGCGCTCATTGAGGGGGCTGGAGAGTAGAGCCGGGTCAGCTGCATGCAAGGCCCTGCCTGCTGCCCCGATCCTTGGCGCCAGATCCGTGGGTGTCTGAAGGCAGTGGCAGCCCGGAGCAGGAGCTTGGGTGGGGGGAAGAGGCAGTGGGAGCAGAAGCTAAAGGTTGGGCAGGGAGACCCTCTTGGGCTGGGCCGGGCTGAGCTGAGGCAGGGCTAGGGCCCGGCTCTGGGCGTGTAGCGGCCGACTATACACATGGGCAGCTGCAGAGACCCCCTTTGCCCTGTAGGTCGCCTTCATCCCGGCTGATTCTGACTTCCAAGGCGTCCTGTCCCCGAAGGCGCTGGAGAATGGGCTTGCTGTTGAGATGAAGAGGTAGGTGCTGGGGTCCTGCGAGGCTGGGGTGGCTGGGCGGGGTGAGCCTCGGGGGTGCCGTGTCTTCTCCCTGAGCACCCTCAGCTTCGGACCCTCGAGAGGGAGCCGTTGCTCCGCCCCTTTCACAGATGAGGAAACTGAGGTCCAGCGACGCCCACGTCTCCCAGGACAGAGACTCATTCTCCTCTGGGCCGGGCTTCCCTGTGCTGCTGACTCTGGGGGACACGGAGTGCCCGGCCCCTGGTCGGAGGCTCTGACCTCTGACCTCACTGTTTGGGCCTCAGCGACCTTGGTGGCGGTGATTGGGTGACAGGCACGATCCCCAGAGACTAGGGAAGGCCAGTGGCCCCGAGCAGGCCCGGGATGCCATTGAGTGACTGGACCCTGATGTCCCCTCTGTGCTACCCCCCAGCCCCCAGACCCCCTACGTGCGGCTGTGGGAAGCAGCTGACTACGACCAGAGTCTGCCCGACTTCAGCCACATGCAGACAAAGCCTGGAGACATCCGCGAGGACCCCCAGCTGGGAGCCAGCAGGGAAGCCCCCAGGGAGGCGGCCGTGGTGGTACACAGGGGCCCGGACGCAGAGCAGGGAGGGAGCACCCTTGCCCAGAGCCCACCCGGGTGAGTGAGCCACTGCGGGGGGAGGTGCCCACGGTGGGGGGTGGTGAGAGGCTCAGGCCTGAGCATGGGTGCCAGCCGCTCCACAGGGTGGGCGCAGCCTGTTTCTGACCCTCCTGAGACTCAGTTTCCCCACAGGCGAAGGATCGCTCTTCCCTTGGTTGTGAGGACGGGGCAGGCCTGAGTCTCAGCGTCTACAGACCCAGGGCCCTCTCCTTGCCGGGCACCCACAGCCAAGGACGGGGCACTGGGTTCAAATGCAGATGGGCCTGACAATCTGTCCCTCTCATTCACGGCCCCTCTGCCCTTCACCCCTCCCCGACTCAGCCCTGCATGAGCCCGAGCCCCGTCTCTTACCTGCACGAACCCTTAGCCCTGCCCAGGGGGAGGCTGACTAGAGCACAGAAGGGGTCGCATGTGTCTGGGGCCACGGACCCCGTGAGACCCTGAGTGACTGGAGGTGGATTGACTGGAATGATGGGGACAAGGCCTGTTCCCAAAGCCTCCGAGGCCCCCCACTGAGGAGTGGGGAAACAGGCCCAGCCAGAGACTTCTGACTGAGGAGTAAGGAAACTGAGGCCCAGGAAGAGACCCCCAACTGAGGAGTGGTGAAACTGAGGCCCAGTCAGAGACTCTCCCACTGAGAAGTGGGGAAACTGAGGCCCAGCCAAGACCTCCATTGAGGAGTAGGGAAACTGAGGCCCAGCCAGGACTCCCACTGAGGAGTGGGGAAACTAAGGCCCAGCCAGAGATTCCCCCCCACTGAGGAGTGGGGAAACTGAGGCCCAGCCAGGACCCCAACTGAGGAGTGGGGATACTGAGGCCCAGCCAGGACCCCAACTGAGGAGTGGGGAAACTGAGGCCCAGCCAGGACCCCAACTGAGGAGTGGGGATACTGAGGCCCAGCCAGGACCCCAACTGAGGAGTGGGGAAACTGAGGCCCAGCCAGGACTCCCACTGAGGAGTGGGGAAACTGAGACCCAGACAGAGATGCCCTACTAAGGAGTGGGGAAACTGAGGCCCAGCCAGGACGCCCACTGAGGAGTGAAGCTGCGGCCCAGCCAGTGGCCCCACCTGCCCAGGCCCTGCCGCAAGCGGGGGGGGGGGGGGGGGTTGGACCAGCTCAGCTGACTCAGCTCTACCCTCACTCTCCTGGCCTTTGCCCCCACAGCCCCCCAGTTTGTTCGGAGGGCTCCGCGCCCTTGGCTTCCTTCCAAGATGACCTGGACGTGGGCAGCACCCCCAGCGAGGGCAGCACCCCCAGCCCGTCTCCGCCGGGGGAGGAGGAGCCTCGGGCCCCCCACGCTGACCCCTGGGCCTGCAGGTGCCCACTGGACCACTTCCACGACTTTGCCCTGATCGACGCCCCCACGGTGGACGACGAGCCCACGGATGGGCAGCGGCGGATGGCAGCCCCACCTGGCTCCTGGCCGCGCCCCCGCAGGGGGAAGGAGGAGGCACAGCCGGAGGAGGAAGACTTGTACTACGGGCTGCCAGATGGGCCCGGGGACCCCCTCCCGGACATAGAGCTGGACTTGGAACCCGATGCCCAGGGCTGACACGCGGCTGCTCCCTTGTCCTAGCCGAGCGTGCTGCCAGGCTCCGAGGCTGGCCTGCAAGGGGGGCTCACGAAAGAAGACACTGCACTCAGGAATCTCTCCTGGTGGGGCCCAGGGGACCATACGGAGGGCTGGGAGTCCAACGTGGGTGAGGTCTAAGGCAAGCCTCCTACCCGCTGTGCTAGGGTTCTGGTACCCATGCCCAGGCCTGATTTGTTTTGGTAAAGATGTGAAGAAATTCCATCGACGCCAAAGCTGGGTCCTCACCCGCCTTTCCTGCCTCCTACCAAAGCTGAGCCCTGAGCAGTGGCGTGCCCGTCCCTGGGCCTCCTATAGCTGCCCGCTCTGGTTTCCTTCCAGTCCACCTGGGACAGACGGCCATTCCATCCTCACTGAGATTTCACCTCAACCTTATCCCCTGATCCATCATCCCTGGATCCCAGATCCCCAGATCCTCTGACCCACCATCCTGGACCCCAGATTCTGGATCCCCAGATTCCCTGATCCCCTGACCCACCATCCTGGATCCCTAGATCCCGAATCCCTAGATCACCTGATCCACCACCCCAGATCCCCAGATCCTGGATCCCCAGATCCCCTGACCCCAGATATCTTGGTTCCCAGATCCTCAGACCCCAGATCCCCTGATCCCCTGATCCACCATTCCAGATCCCCAGATCCTGGATCCCCAGATCCCTTGACCCCAGATACCTAGGTTCCCAGATCCCCAGATCCCCAGATCCCCAGATCCCCAATTCCCAGATCCCCAGATCCCCTGACCCACCATCCCGGGTCCTCAGATCCTGGACCCTCAGATCCCCTGATCCCCTGATCCACCATTCCAGATCTCCAGATCTTGGATCCCCAGATCTCCTGACCCCAGATTCCTTGGTTCCCAGATCCCAAACCCTAGAACCTTCAGCCCTTCTCCCCACTCCTGTCCTCCTTGCAAACCCACACTCACTCTTCCTTCCCATCCTTGTCCATCCATCCTGGGGCTCCTCTGTCCTCCCGTCTGTCCACCCATTTCTCCTGCAGCTCAGAACCTCGGCTTTGCTCCCCTCACTGTCCACTGGAGCCTGGAGCCCTGGCGTTGGGGGATCCCTGAGGATTTGCAGCCCCCTTCTGCAGATGGAGTCCCCCCATCCCGCACTTCCCAGCTTCGAGACTCTCTGCCTGGCCCTCGGCCTCCCAAGCAGCACCGGACGTTTGCAGGCAGACGCCGGCACCCCCGCAAGTCTCTCCTCTCAGCGGCTGAGAGTGTGCGTGAGTTCCCGGCCCCGAGGCCTGGCTCACTCAGGCGGCAGCTGCTTCTTGCCAGACACCAGGCCGGTCCTGCCTGAGGGCTTTCCACTCTCCTGAACTCTCTCCATACCTTTGAGGCAGTGAGCAGTGGGACACGGGCATGGCAGAGAAGTCTGAAGCCAGAAGCCAGAGGCGGTCGAGTCACAGCCACACGTTGTCTGGCCCTGAGGTGTGGGGACACGCCGCTCAGCCACCTGCTCTCGCCTGCTGGGACGTGCCAAGTTGGCGGTCATGCTTTGAGGCTGGTCCCTGCGGAGCCCCTTGGTGGCCCAGCCTCAGGCCTGCTGCACACAGTCAGAGCTCAGCCCCTGGGCTGCACCTGGGAGGGGTCCCACGGGGAGGGTTGGGGGTCTCAGCTGAGGAAAAGGTGCCCCAGCAGGAACGCCTCTGTCTCTGATACCCTTGCACATGGGCCCTGGTCTATGGATGGGGTGAGGGGGAGGGGACGGTGGGGCGGAAAGGCTCCGAGAAAGGTGACACGGCGCCTTTGCCAACCACCTGCGGTGCCACTGTGGTCTGTGTCTGCCTGCCTGTCCCCGAACGCCCGTGTGGGACAGCTTGGCTGTGTGCGTCCTCGTAGGACTTCAGGGCATCCCCAGTATTCATAGAGAGCCTCTGGCCAGGCTGTGGGATGTCTGAGTGGGGCTGTGTGGGGGGGGAGGCTGCACCAAGACCTTATTGGGGAGGTCCCTCTCGCTCCCAGAGCCACCCAGGGCATGGCCAGCGCCTCACCCGCTGCCCCTTGACCCTACCTGATTCTCTTTCCTATTTCCTGTTCGCAGGAGGTGGGTACTGGGACCCCGTCTTTGACTCAGTGCAGTTCAGATTGGGTGTTCGGTGGATGAACCTGCAGAGATCCCCACGGGCCAGGCCGAGCCACTAGGTGCTTTCCCCGAACTCACAGTGGGTGGAGGACTCAGTGCAGTGAGGATGATGGGTCTCCCGGGGATGCGGCAGGATTCAGGGGGCCTGGGCTCATGCTCGGGGCTGAGTGAACTCTTGGGAGGACCCTGCCTGGAAGCGGTGTCTGTCTGGCCGCCAGCGACTACAGGCCCAGGCCAGGGCTGGGCTGATCATGGCCCATCCCCCACTGGTCGGTCGGTGCCCATCAACGAGGCTGAGATCACGGCACGGGCAGCAGGGCCCATGGTGAGTCCTTGCCGTTGATCACATCACTCCCAGCGGGGGGCTCTGAGGGACTGCTGTGCCCTGGTTCAGTTGCTGACAGTGGGGAGCAGGGCCAGGAGTCAGTGGGGAGGGGAGGAAGGGGTGCTGCTCCTTAAGGGTCCGGGGGACCTTCCCTTCCACTCTCCCTATCCTAGCTGGGACTCCGTGGCCGCTGGTTCTGAGCCCCCCGGGCTCTGGCCTCTGGCCCTGTCTCCTGTGTCACCTCCACGGACTGAGGCCTCTGGGAATCTCTGCTGGTCGGTGTGGGGGGTGTGTGTGTCACTGTTGGGGTCTGCGCCATCATTGGATTCCAATTCTCAGCCCCAGGGTCCTGCAGGGTGGAGGGGTTCTGGAAGTTTCCACTCCCGGGAGATTCCACCTGCTGGGCCGGTCCCGGCTCGGAGGGAGGACATTCGCCTCGGGCAGCAAGCCTGGACTCTGGGACCATTGGCCGTGACCGTGGGCATGTCACGGCCTGCCTGGACGTCTTACCCCCAGTCCTCCAGCTTGCTCTGTGCCAGGTATCCCGATGCCCCGGGGGACTGAGCTGCCAACCGCAGCGCTTGCCGTGTGACCTTGAACAAGTCACTGTCTCTCTCTGCGCCCCAGTGTTCCCAGTGCGTGGTGGGGAGGATGAAGCCTGTCTCTGTGCTGGCGGGCACAGGTCCCTGGCATTGAGGGGTACCCAGGGGCTGCCTCTGTCTTCCCTCTCCAGCTCCAGTTTCCTCTTCTGAGCAGTGGGGGTCAGCCCAGCTCACGGGCAGGACGGTGTAGGGAGGGACCCCATGGGGGGGGACGGTCCCTGGGCGGCCTCTTGGCCTGCAGGGTGGGATGGGAATATGCTGGGCAGGTGAGGTGCTGTGGGGTGCTCCCTCCTGCTCTCCGGGGAGGACGGGGAGAGCAGCTTAGACACAGGTTGGGTGCCCTGGGCTAACCCCTGGTCGAGGCTGGACGCTGGTCCCAGGGACAGTCGAAGGGGTTGCCCCGGCTGGAACGAAGTGGGCTGAGAGCCAGGGTGGGAGCTGGGCACTGGTGGGAACAGGCTGTGGGCACTGCCACAGGGCACAGACAAGCTTCGGTGGGTTGGCTGGCATGAACAGACCCACAGTTTTTCATAGCAGGAGGACCCGGACTCTCATGGCTGCCCCAGAGGAGGGCAGTGGCAGCTGGCAGAGCAGGGGCCAAATCAGCAGACAGGGCACAGGGAGATGGTCCCACAGGGCAGAGCTGTGCCAGCCCAGGAATGCTCAGAGGAATGCCCAGGAAAACAGCGGCGTGTGTCAGCCCATAACAGAGGCTGCGTTTGGCCCAGACGCAGAGGACGGGCATTGGCAGAGCCTCTGGAGGAGAGATAGGACAAGCCTCTGTGGGGATGGCCCGGCCAAGAGTGGCAAGGGCTTCCGTCGCTGGGCACGGCCACCTGTTGACTGTGCAGCCCCGCCTGAGGGGAGATTCATGACCAGAAAGACCGAATCGTCAGGGGAAGAAGATGAGTGGGACCTCAGGGCCAAGGATGGTGCCCACTCTTGAAGTAGGGCATACTCCAAACCTCAGCTCTATGCCACCTGCCTCCTGGGCACAGCAAGGGCAGCTGAGATCCCTCCCTTGTGAGTTTCGGTTTGTGTGGGGGTCAGCTTGGGGGTCAGGGATGACAGTGCAGGGCACTGAGCCACAGCGGGGCCAGCAAAATCCAGGCTCCGTGCCTTTGAGCCTCATGGGCTTCTCGACCACTTCCTGTGGCTCTCCAGAGTGGCCGTCTCTAAGGCCCTCACTGGGCCCGACCTAAGCTCCTGCAAGACAGTGGCCCGCCAGCTATACTGCTCCAACACGTCTAGGTTTCTCTTCTTTCCTTTCCTATTGCAGTAAAGAGAATACTACAGAAAACTCACCCTCAAATCCATCTTTTTAAAATGTAGTCACCGTGAGATACATTGTTACAGGGCTGTTCATGAATGGGTTTCAGTCATATAATGTCCCATCGCTCATCCTTTCGCCCGCCACCCACCTGTGTCCATTTCCCACCACCAATGTCCCCTCCCGCCCCACCCCCAGCCTGCTTCTATGGCAGGCACTTTTCTTCTTCTTTTTTTTGCTTTTTGGGTCACACCCGGCAATGCACAGGGGTTACTCCTGGCTCAGGAATTACTCCTGGCGGTGCTCGGGAGCCCATATGGGATACTGGGAATTGAACCCGGGTCGACCGCGTGCAAAGCAAATGCCCTACCCGCTGTGCTATCACTCCAGCCCCACTTTTCTTCTTTCTCTCAAATCCATTTTTAAGTATAAAATCCGTTATTCAGGTTTCCTGGGCAGGGAACCATCACCACCATCAGTAACATTGTCCTCTTCCCAAACGGGGACTCTCCATCCACAGAACAAAAACCAGCCCCCTCCCCACCTGCTTATACACACCTTCCCCTCTCGCAACCACCATTCTATGCTCTGCCTTTAAAAAAGACCAACAAAACAACTCTCTCCACCTGTGCGTTAGAGTCTATGTATTTTTATTTATTCATTTTTATTTTTTG